GAAAGAGTACGCCTGCAAATCGATTGCGAAGAGGAAGTTGATATCCGATGAGGATGTGGAGGATGTGAGAAGGGAGATTCAGATAATGCACCATTTGGCAGGGCACCCAAATGTGATATCGATAAAAGGGGCGTACGAGGATGCCGTAGCAGTTCAAGTTGTTATGGAGTTATGTGCAGGTGGTGAGCTGTTTGACCGGATAATCCAGCGTGGGCATTACACGGAAAGAAAGGCAGCTGCTCTTACTAGGACTATAGTTGGAGTTGTGGAAGCTTGCCATTCTTTGGGGGTTATGCATCGGGATCTCAAGCCGGAGAATTTTCTTTTCGTCAATCAGGAGGAGGATGCACTTCTCAAAACTATTGACTTTGGATTATCAATTTTCTTTAAGCCAGGTATTTTATTGGTATACGACTTTTTGCAGCATTGGAATTACCCTTGATATGTATTTTTAAATGGCATTTATATGTGACCCGGACATGCTATTTTTCAGTTTTAGAAGAAGCATGCTTTACTATTGAATTTTGCACAAAGCACATGAAGCTTTGTCCATGATATATAACTCTTCTTATGCTTATAATGATCTTTTGGTGCCGTTCTTTTACTCATAAGAACCCTTAAGTTTTGATGTTCTGTTGTTTTTTCTAGCTCATATTGGTTTTATTGTATAGTTAAAAATACTTTGTCGTCATTTTGGGATAAGCCAGTCCTTCTTTATATGCTTTGTCTCAATCTTAAAAGGTTTTGTAAGAAAATTTTCTATTTTTAGCTCTACTCCTTGCAATGCATTTATGTTGTATTCTTTAGCATTAATCTTTTAAAGCTTTACAGATGAGAATCTTGTTAAAGCTAAGCTGGTTTTGTCAATAAATTTTCCACGTTATTTTCACAAATTGTTGGTCAGAATATTTTTCCTGCAGAGAACTATATTCTGGGATTAAGGCAATGTCAAGGTGCTAAACCTTGGACTTGTTAAAAAAGAACCGATTATGACAAATAAATGTTAAAAATTTGAGATTGAGAAACCTGCTACCAAAGTTTAAATCCATCTTAAGGATTTACATTGCTGATATCGTTTAACTAATGAAATTTTAGTGTAAAAAGAAACTGTTGTGTGTATTGATGTAAATACTTGCTTATGCAGTAAAATGTTGTTGCTTTAACATGCATAGTTAACATGCATAGATAACATGTTCTACACATGCGTCGTTGCCATAGTTTAGCTTTTTACTGCTTTTCCTCTGTGATGCTTCATACTGAGATGTTCTTAAAATATTTGATCTTTTTCGCCTTGCAGGAGAGAAATTCAGTGATGTGGTTGGCAGCCCATATTATGTCGCACCAGAAGTTCTACGCAAGCGCTATGGTCCAGAAGCAGATGTTTGGAGTGCTGGAGTGATTCTTTACATTCTTCTAAGTGGAGTTCCTCCATTTTGGGCTGGTGGGATACTGGTCATTGCTGTAGTTACTGTTAGCATTTTCTTCATTGTCTATGCAAAATATATGTTCTAATCTTGTCTTTCTCTCGTCATTCATTGCCCAGAAAACGAGCAAGGGATATTTGAGGAGGTCTTGCACGGAGAGCTAGACTTTTCTTCAGACCCATGGCCTAGTATTTCTGAAGGTGCCAAAGATTTAGTAAGGAAAATGCTTCTTCGAGACCCGAGAAGGCGGATATCTGCACATGATGTTTTGTGTGAGTCTCCATTGATTTATTTCTATTTTTAGATCCTTATAATTGGGCTTATGAGATTCGGGTACATAGATAAGGATTGAATAGAGCCTGTCTTCCTATTGAAAAGATATAATTTTTTTTGAATGTGCTACTTAAATGACTAATTTGGAGTTTTTTAGGCCATAACATTGGTCGTTCCTTTTGTTGAAAAAACCCGCTTGGAACAGTTGATATTTCTCAAATAAACATAGCTTGCCGCTTAAAAAGAGAGAAAAGAAATATGGAAGATCATACAAAACAGGAGCACACAACAGTGTTCTTCTTCTTCTTCTTCTTCTCTTGATATTGTGTTAGTTCACTTCTAAAGTTTCAAAATGCTAGTAATGTGATCGTTTAAGGGATATTCAGAGGATTAACAAACTGCATATAAGATCTTATTTATCGATCAAACATTTTGCAGAGCTTAGATTGTTCGCTTCAGCTGCTCAATGAATACTTATTGTCCTTCTCCTTATTATCTTTTCTTCGTTGATTTGAATGATTTAATCGTTGCAGTTATTTTTTTTGCCATATCTAATTCTATGCTTACTCATAACATTTTTTAAGCACGAAGTTTTATTTTTATTAATAAGTTGTCACCTTAAATTTCTTTCAGGCCACCCCTGGGTTCAAGTTGATGGTGTGGCTCCAGACAAACCTCTTGATTCTGCGGTATTGAGTCGCTTGAAGCAATTTTCTGCAATGAACAAGCTCAAGAAAATGGCCATTCGAGTAAGTCTCTGAATGGTTTGGATAGTTGAGTGGAATATGTGGAGTTTATAGGTAACTCTTATTCTAAGTGAAAATAAGTATACATTTCATTGGTTGCTTTTTTATTTTTCTTTGGCAGGTAATTGCAAAGAGCTTATCTGAAGAAGAAATTGCTGGACTAAAAGAAATGTTCAAGATGATAGACACGGACAACAGTGGTCAAATTACTTTTGAGGAACTTAAGGCTGGATTCAAAAGATTTGGTGCTAACCTTAAGGAATCTGAAATTTATGATTTAATGCAAGCAGTAAGTTCATATTAAATCAGAATTACTTGTTTCATTTTTTCTTTTTCGGATAAAAACATGAACTTTGTTGCAATTAAAGAACTTAGGGAAAACAAAATGACAAAGGGCAATCAGAACTCAGAAGTGTATATAAAACATTCAAAAGCAAATAAGGACTAATTGCACAACATTCTTCCATTTCACTGAAATTATAGGAAATAGAAAGCCCTTTTTAACTCTTGGCTTAAGATGCTCATAAAGAGTCTAAAACTTATCTCTGTCCCGGGGAGCGAAAAATCCCGCTCACAAGCTTTATCTAGCCATGGAGCAATTTTCAGTATTTGAATCAGCTTCGGAATTCAGTGTTTCTGTCAGAACATGAGTTTGACCATCATTACAACCTATTGGCAAGATGATTCCTTCAACGATTATCACAATTTTATCAAAAATATTTACTTTCAAAATTTACCGTTTCCCCTTCTTCATATCTTGGTTGAGCGACAATGGATCTGCATTTGATAAATATGTTACAAATTAGGAAGTGGTTAATTTGAATATTAGCAAGATCATCCCCTCGATATATTAGCTTAAGATAATTTTTAAGACAAATATCATAAGCAAGATAATTCCTTCAGCATTTATCAAAATATTACTTTCCTTTTAACCTGTCATTCCCATCATCACATGTTGGTACTCCACTGAGGATTTGAATCCGATAAATAGGCTATCACTTGGAGCATAACACATTGAACGTTCTTGACTTGACCTTATTTTCCGGTTTACAGGCGGATGTAGATAACAGTGGAACAATTGATTACGGGGAGTTTGTAGCCGCAACACTCCATTTGAACAAGATTGAGAGAGAAGATCATTTGTTCGCAGCTTTTTCCTACTTTGATAAAGATGGAAGCGGCTACATCACTCAAGATGAGCTTCAACAAGCGTGCGAGGAGTTTGGCATAGAGGATTTCCGCCTTGAAGAAATGATGCAAGAAGTTGATCAGGACAATGTAAGTATATCCACACCAGTGGAACGGTGCCTGTCTAAATTTCTAAAGCAGATTATATTCTTCTATCACGGTAAAGGCCTTTGGTTTGGATACTAGGGCAGATTCGTGTTTAAAAACCTTTACTGCTGTGTCAAATAAAAATTTGTGCTCGCTTGCTTTTAGGGTTTTCGTTCGTTTTCTTCGGCGCATCATTGAACTTAGACGCTTTACTGCACGGAATGTAAACCTGACTTGGCTAACGTTCCAATTTTGCTTTCGTTTTATGCAGGACGGGCGCATAGATTATAACGAGTTTGTGGCCATGATGCAAAAAGGAACTATTGGTGGCAATGCTAAGAAGGGCTTACAAAGTACTTTCAGCATTGGTTTTAGAGAGGGCCGCAAAGTGTAGTTTTCAACATGTAGTGAAAAGGTTCTTGTTTCTTTTTATCCTCTTTCAATTTTTTTGCCTGATTTTTTTCCACATGCTTCTTGAGTGATTAAGATTGTACAGTAACTAAGGAGCTTAAAATGCTCATCTAAGATATAGCCAGGCCTCAATTATGCTCTTTTTTTTTTTTTGGTTGAGATCCTCTGTTGTTTGCATTGACTTCTTCTGTGTACTCTATTTTGTACAATTTGAGGAGAATAGTCTTTTTTTTTTTTTTTTTTTTTTTTCAGTATATGAAACTCATACTTAATGGGAAAACATTTTGTTTGCATTTGATAAAATTAAATATTTATCTTTTTTTTAATAGAAACAAGAGTTCATTAAGACAAAGAAATAATGAAGTACAAAGCAAGGAGGGCAAGAAGTCCACCCAGATTAAAGATCATGAAAATAGGGGAAAAAACTGAGAGCAATCGGAAAAAAAATTACATAGATAATATTATTTATCAGTGAACTTTTTTTTTTTAATGAAATTTTAACATATAACATAATCTTATTAGTCATGTTGAAATGTAGCAAAAACTTTAGAATATACTTTACAAATAGTAAAACTAAAATCATTTGATAATTATTAGGAAATTGTGCAGCATAAAATGTGACCATCATTATCTTAATTTAGTTTTAAAATATTTCAGAAATTATTGGTTTTTTAGAGGAAAATTATTGTATTTTAATTCCACTCTTATAAATATGTCGTGTAATTTTTTTTATGTCTTATTTGAGAGCTTATACGGTGAGACTCTTTAAAAAAATTTATCGGTAGAACACTCTATTTTAATCGTTGGATTAAGTTTTTAATGTTCAGATTTACGCAATTCCGTATTAAAAATTTACAGTGAGCCACACATAACTGCTTTATCTGTAGATCTGATCATTAAAAAAGTAATCTAATTATCAAAATAAAGTGTTCACCGGTGGCTCTTTTAGGGTTCGTTTGGTGCGAGGATTCAAACTAAGGTGACTCTAATCATGATTTTGATACCATAACTATGATTCATGATTTTAGGTTCCAATCATGATTCTGAAACCATTTTTAGGGTTCGTTTGGTGCGAGGATTCAAACTAAGGTGACTCTAATCATGATTTTGAAACCATAACTATGATTCATGATTTTAGGTTCCAATCATGATTCTGAAACCATGATTCACAATCAGGGATTTGAATCACCTTGAATCAAGAGGGGGATGATTTTAGAATCATGATTCAGAATCATCCAAACCAAACACTGATTTTGAATCAAAATCTAGAATCATGATTTTGGATCTATCTACCAAACGCACCTTTAAAGAGTAGAGAAAGCCTAATTTATCTATAGGTATCATTTTTTGGGCCCCACCTCTTACGCTTTTCTTTTCTCATAGTGTAAGTACTATTCATTCTATCTTTTCCTTTAACTTATCAAAATATTTTCCACATTTCCTTGGATATCCATCCAAACTAAACACTAATTTTGAATCAGAATTTAGAATCATGATTCTGGATCTATCTATCAAACGCACCTTTAAAGAGTAGAGAAAGCCTAATTTATCTACCTTTAAAGAGTAGAGAAAGCCTAATTTATCTATAGGTATCATTTTTTGGGCCCCACCTCTTACGCTTTTCTTTTCTCATAGTGTAAGTACTATTCATTCTATCTTTTCCTTTAACTTATCAAAATATTTTCCACATTCCTTGGATATCTATATCTATACTATATATAAGAAGAGTGATGGTGTACAAAAGTTTTTGCTCCAACCTACTTGTGTGCTTCACCCATTTGCTTGGCTTTTTTTTTTACCTTTTTAATTCTACTTTTTTAGGGCCCGTTTAATTTATGCGTTTAAACCAGTGATTATTGATTTTGACAATTGAAATTTAAAATTTTTGTAAGAGAAAAATACTGTAGTAAAATTAAAATCATGAGTTTAAACACATAAAATAAATGAGCCTTTAATGATTAAAACTGACTCTCTTTTAACTTGAATTACATCCATTGGTTTTATTTTTTAACTTTAATTGTTTAGCTTTTTGAATTTTAATTACTACAGACTATTATTTAGCTTGTTATATTAATTAATATCATTCATATATATTTTTCTTTACATTTGTTAATGATTGTTATTTTTGTTGGCAATCATATGTTCATATTAGTTAAACTTTGATAACCATTATTAAACCTCAGTCCGTAATTTTAATGGTTTAATATATTAATAATTTTATAATTGACTAATAATATTATGTTAATATCAATATTAATACTAATATCAATCGGTAGAGTCAACATTACTTTACTCTCTTTTTTGTTTTAACAATTTTTTCTTCTATGCATTTTCTTAATATTAATATTCTGCTTTCCTTTAAACTTTTTTTTTAAAACAAAATATTTTTGTGTCAAAATATTAAAAATATATGCCACTTATTATTGTTAATATCTTTAATATACTTCTTCTCTCATTTGAATTTTGATATTTTAATAATTTTTTCATGGCTATTTATATTAAAATCCCATTTTTTATCCATTAAAAAAAACCCATTTTTTATGCCTGAAAAGAGGCACGTCCCTTAGTACTAGTAGATATTAGACAAATGAATAGTTTGTTCATATGAGAGAGAATAAATCCTAAGACTTTATAAGAAAGAGTTATTAGTAAAATTACTTTACAAAAGTTTTAATTTGCAAAATGAACTTGTTTAGTCCAAAGGTTTTTTTTTTTTTCTTTTTTAGTTGAAATTTTATCGACACTTGAGAAGATAGTTTTTTCTTTCCATGAGGCTGAATTTTGCGATTAGACACAACGAATAGGAGAAAATTCTCTCTCATGTCATAGGACTTTTATTTGAAAAAAGAACTCCATTTTTTTCTTACAATTTGGTCCATGGTAACAGTTCTATTTTTCCAGCAAAAAGAAGAATAGTATTCTGATATCTTGAAAAAAAAGGGGAAATAAATGACCTTTTATGTAGGGTATTTTTATCGATAGAGCTCATTTTTTATCATTAAATCTGTTTAAAATTATATTAAAAATATAAAAAATGTAAAATAAATTATTTTTGATATATAATTGTTGAAAATCAGAGATCTACTGATAAATTTATTTTTTCAAGTTCAGTCATAAAAATAAATCTTGAAAAGAAAGGGGAAATAAATGACCTTTTATAGGGTATTTTTATCGATAGAGCTCATTTTTTATCATTAAATCTGTTTAAAATTATATTAAAAATATAAAAAATGTAAAATAAATTATTTTTGATATATAATTGTTGAAAATCAGAGATCTACTGATAAATTTATTTTTTCAAGTTCAGTCATAAAAATAAAAAGTAAAATTACTTTTTAAAACTCTTCTTCTTAGATTTCAGTTCTTTCTTCCAATCATTTTATGACAGAGAGGAATCGGTCCACTAATCTTTCTAGTCTAATAAATGAACTAGTGCTCGTATTCATGTTCACTGAATGCTGAGGGGAAAAAAAAAAGAAGGAAAATCTTATCTTTTTACTAAAAAAATAAAATTATTGGAATAGCTTATCCTGTAGTGATGATAAAATAGCTTGTTACTGTACCAAAAAAAAGGTCCGTTTAGTTCGCTGATTTGAGTTTTTAATTCGAGTTAATATGTGATTTTATGTGAGAGCTTTTTATTGTAGCAAAAAAGTTAGATGTGATTGTTTGTGAGAGTTTTTTACTGTAACAAAACTCGAATTCTAAACTTGAATCAACGAAATGAACGGGGCCTTAAAGTACAAGAAGTGCCTATTATTTTTTTCTTTTATTTTTTATGGGTTGGTTTACAAAAAGTGGTTACTCTTTTTAACTTTGTGCTTGTGGGGATGCAAAAAGGAATCTTGCACCTCCTCAACCGACACATCCTTGATCCTTTCGGCTTTGGAGGCCATTCCATCCACGCTCCACAACGGTCATAATGGCGTTTACTTCATAATTATTGCACTTCCAAAATCCTAAAACAAACTTGTGGTTGTAGATGCCAGGGTCAGTTTGGTATTCTTGTCCTGTTAAAAATATTTACTGTATTTATGTTGTTAGTTAAAAGTTATTGTGATTAAAAGTAAGTAAATTTGTTTAGATGTTTGATAAATTATGTATGAAATTATTATTAATATATTATGATTAGGGGTCGGTAAACCAACCAATCATCTAATTGATCTAACTAATTTAATTCAATCCAGCTAAACAAAATTGGATATTCGAACATTATCGGATCAGACTTAGATAACATTTTCACAGATCCAATTGAATTAGATTGGATGTTGGATTCAAATTTTCAAAATCCAATACAATGTATTTATCTTGTATATAATATAATATAATACATAATTAATTATGTATATGACATGCAAGAGTGACAGTTTTTTCCTAAAAATATGAAAGTCTTATAATACAAAAACTTATTAAAAAAACACTCATGATTTCAATTATATAAATCAACAAATACAAAAGGTCAAAGACTTCTCTTTTAAAGAAAATAAAAGTCAAAAGTCTTAAAACTACATTTGATGATTTTGATTTGATTTTTATGTTGGATGACAAACAGATTATAAGAAAAAAAGATTTATCATTTTCGATTTATGTGTTTTTTTATGAGAGAAAATACTGTAACGAACCACGAATCATAATTCGAATCGGGGTACGAATCTTCCAACCAAACAACTCCGTTTAAATAAATTTTGACAAAAGTCTAGGTCAATCCAATCATCCAATCTAAATCTAAAAAGATATAATGGCGGATTCATATAATTAACTCACTTTAATAGCAAGGGTCTAATTTCCAATGATGTGAATTTTGTAATGATTAAAGTATCGTTCATTTCACCGATTTGAGTTTAGAATTCAAGTTTTACTACAGTAAAAAGTCCTCATAAATAGTTAAATCTAACTTTTTTACTACAGTAAAAAATTTTCACATAAAATCACATCTCAACTCAAATTAAAAACTCGAATTAGCGAACTAAACAGACCTTAAGTTTGTAAAATACGAATACGTAACGATCATGTGGTCACGTGTATATATGTTAGTGATATGCATGTACAATACATGTATATGTTGTGTATAGTACATACGTTCGTTATTAGTGATGATACATATTTTTCTCTCTTGTGCTTTCTTTTGATAAACATGAATGATGCTCTCTTATGCCTTCATTTGATTTGCTTCTTGTTCCATAATCCATCTACACCTTCTTCGAATTGATTTGTTGATCTATTGTTTATTATTAAACTACTACTATTGTTGACATTCAACTCTTTTTTAAATACTTAAACTTCATTGCTCGAAATGTGATTTTATGTGAGAGTTTTTAATTATAGCAAAACTAAAATTAAAAACTCGAATCGGTAAAAAAAAACGAGATCTTAATGCGTTAAACAACATTGATAAAATAACTATACAATAACAAACAATCCCATTAAATATTACCTACTCAAATATTTACTATCTTCGACGTACTTTTCATAATTGGTAAGTGGCAAGTACATATAGGAGAGTGGACATTCAACAACTACATATGGTTTAGGGAGTTTAATTTAGTTTTTTTTTAAGCTCCGTTCATTTCGCTAATTTGAGTTTAGAATTCGAGTTTTGCTACAGTAAAAAGCTCTCACAAATAGTCACATCTAATTTTTTTGCTACAATAAAAAGCTCTCACATAAAATCACATCTCAACTCAAATTAAAAACTCAAATCAACGAACTAAACGTGCTAGAAACAACTAGCTAATTAATTAGCTAAAGGAAAATGTGTGTTTTCAAAAAGAAAAAAAGAGGATGATAATGTGTGTTTTTTAATGCAAGATAAAGTGTAAAAATGTTAAGGGGGTTTTTTTTTTAAATTAATAAAAAGGAAAGTAAGGTGTACACCAAACTGTAGTTTTACCTTATGAGACTAGAGACATGGTAAAGTGTCCCTCTTGTTGTTGGTCTTGATTCTGAACTTATCTAACTTTAACCCAAAAACGAACAAGACAACAATAACATACTCAGAACAGAATTTGTTACACAAAAATGTACCATTTATAACTTTAGAGAAAAGTAAAAAAAAAAAAAAAAAAAAAAAAGAAACTCTACGTGAAAATTCCCAAATTCTTGAGTGCATTATTTAATTAAATCAAAATCAACAAAAATGATGGACCTGATTAAATAATGATCACTAGATGTGGGCCACCTCTTTTTTTTTTTTGGAAAAACAAAATACAATTGGCCATGTTATTGCAAAAGGAATACTTGAATTATCTGTGTTTTTTGAGGGCATACTTGAATTATTTAATTGAATTATCTGTGTTTTAAAAAAAAACTAATTTCTCATGATCGGTATATTTCCAGGAAAATGGAAAAAGATCCTATTTGTTAACAATGTTTACTCCAATTTCTCCCCAAATCTACCAGAAATACTAAAAAAATACGGTATCCGTTATGTACATATACGTATAAAAAGGTCCCTCATTTTTCCTAATTAAGAAAAAGTTTACTTCTTATGATCAGTAGGGATAAAATTCTAATTTTTCTCGGACAATATTTACTCAATTTTCTTTCAAAATATACAAGAAATATTTAAAATATTTAAAAAAAATGGAATAAAAAGATTAAAAAAAAAAAAAAGTGCCATCAATAACAATCGCAATATCTCCCACATGTATTGTTTTTTATTTATTATTTATTTTTTTATTTTCCCCAAATATTATATTCCCTCCTTTCTTTTTCCTCCGTCTCTCTCTCTGTAATTAAAAACCCTAATTTGCTATTGTCGCACTTTCTTCTTTCTCTCTCTTCCACCGTTTTCTCTCTCCACCCCGTCCGACCTCAAACCCTAGGGGCCATTCGCTTTCGCTCTCTCTCTCTCTCTCTCCTCCTCTCCCATGGCGACGGCGCGCGAGGAGCCAAAGCAGCAGCCTTACGAAGGCGGGGGGGGATTGGGCGGCGCGGGAGGGAAGTTCCGGAAGAGGCCGTTCAGGAGGACCACCCATACGACGCCGTATGATCGCCCGCCGACGGCTTTTCGGAACCCTAACGGCGGTTGGCTCTCGAAGCTCGTCGATCCTGCGCAGAGGCTTATCTCCTCCAGCGCCCATCGACTCTTCTCCACCGTTTTTAGAAAACGCCTCCCCCCGCCGCACCCGCCATCGCCAGGTTCTTTCTTTTTCTTTCTTTTCTCCATTTCGTTTTTGTTCGTCTTTAGGAAATTTGTATTTAGGTTTTTTTTTTTTTTTTGTGTGGTGAATTTGATTGGTTATGCTGTTAGGGTTTGGACGAAATGGGGGGGGGGGGGGTTTAAATTTGGAGTTGTTTTTTGTTTCTGATTTTACTGTTTGCAGAAATAGAATTTGTTCCTGAGCTAAGAAATTCGGTTCTTGGTGTTGGTTATATTATAAATTGATGCTAAAGTAGCTTAATTTAGACTTGAGACAAGTTTGTTTATGACGGGAGAGGGAGCTAGGGTTTTGTGCTGTAACGACTGCATCTGCATTTTTTCTTGCTGGAACACGTCTAATTGCTTGTGCCCAGCATGATAATGCACTGGAATAATTAGCTGAACAAGAGAGAGAAATATGATTCATTTACCATTATTGTCTTTTTTTTGTTTTAATGTTTCCCCTGTAATTATACGTGAATTCATGTAATTGGGCATTTGGATCTCTAGCTAGAAACACAAACTATTTTTAAAAAAAAAATATTTTATAGCCTTTTTTCTGTTGCGTGATGCACTAGTGGAACTTATTAGAATCTATATCTTAAAAGCTCCTCTCATTCCCCTTAAATGAATTATGCGGAAATTTACTTCCAAGGATAATCGGAAGTGTTTTAGGACTGGTCAACTTCTCGTTAGTATTGGATTTTATGCGAGGATTTGGAAAACAAAGTTCCGCTGTTTCACTGGCGTTTTCACCCCCTGGCCCCTGCCCCTCCTTTCTAAGAAGAAACTTAAGGGCATTGTGATGATTTGTTAGTTATGGGACAATATTTAAGCATACGAGTGTCATCTCTGACGGCTGCATAAGCTTATATGTTATCTTTAATTTCAAGTAGTGATAAGGACCCAAATCATAAAAGTAAAAAAATACATAATGGCGTATGCCTATTGTCATGTTCCAGAAAAGAGTATTGCATCTTTGTAAGTCTAACCACTGCTAGAACACAGCCTCCATTCTTGTTAGAAATTAACAAAGCAGCTTTTCACATTCATCCAGGTCAATTATTAAGATGACACCCGCTCGTTAATTGACAAAATTCTCACCTATCTCCAGATCACTAATTTAGAAATGACAGACTGGTGTTCTTTCATATGGTTATAGCCGCTTTTGAAAATTAAGATTAAGATTCAAAGAACTCATGCATTTTTTTCCTTTTCCCAAATTATCGTTGTTTTTGCAATTCAAGTTGCATGTTATAGTAGTTGCCACTTACCAGTTTTTATAACATCTTTTAATTGTAGATTAGTTGCTAGTTATACTCATACATAGTACTTGCTTTTGTAGATTACTTTTTAGTTTTACTCGTAAAGATTTTTGCCTTTTATTATTTATGTGTGCTTCTCAAATGTCTAAATTGCAATTACTGATTGCTTGTCTTGCAAATTTCTTTTATTTTCCAGTGGAAAACAGCGACAAAAGGGATAAACAACAAGAAGCAGTTGCCACAGTAAGTTGCTACCTATATTTATATGCTTTATTAGTGTTGTTGTTGTTGTTGTTGTTATTATTATTGTTATTGTTATTGTTGTTGTTATTATTATTATTATTATTATTATATTCTGTTATTATTGTTATTATATCTGTTCAAGGTTCTCTTTGTTTAAGGCACATGGTGCACAGTTTACATTTAGCTATATGTTTTAGCAGCCTTGGCATGGTATTTCTGTTAGATTGTGTTGGGTTTGAAGTAGAACTAGAAGTGAAGGAAAATCATAATTTTACACACTCATTTGAAAAACCTTGCAGGCCTCTTTATTATGTTTTTCCCAAGACCATTAAGGCACTTTTAGGAATTTTATCAAGTTATGTATATGACTGCATGTCTTTTAAGAGGATGTGATCTTGGCATTTTTGTTCGCTTTATGTTTTGAATTGACCAAGTTCATAGCGTAAGATGTTTACTAACATCATTATGAAAAATAGTTTTTATAATATAAGGTAAAAGTAGCAATTCCCTTTTATTTCAATCTGTGTTCTTGGGCCTTAAAAAAAAGTGTTATCGTATCTGGCAGAATAATTTCCAGTCAGTTTGTTTCTGTTATTCCCTGTTATATTTTAGGTTTTTCTTTGTATTAGTATTTTATTCATGTACCCCTGTTGCATGCTTCATTTATTATTTTTTGTTTACAAGGATTTCCATGGGGCACAAAAACAGATTGTTGATCTAAGTGATGGTCCAAGTAATAGTGTTAGTGGAGGCAAGTTGACTGAGCTTGAGCAAATTTTAAAGCAAAAAACCTTTACCAGGTAAGTTGTTTTTCTTTTATATTTTATTTAAATAGTTATTAGTCTTGTTCTGGAAGTACTACCTTTTTACTTTGTATAATCGGTCTTCCACCATAAAATATTCTTGCTCATGCACTTATTGCTGGTAGCGTTTCTTAGGTAACTTGTAAAAGGGAATTTTTTCCTTCTTATGTCAATGCAATGTTCGTTTCTCTCTTATCCAAACTCCAAAGGAACAAAAAATGTAAAACAACTTAAAAACTGACGAGGATTCATATTGAGGTCTGGAACTCCTTTTATTAGTTTGTTTCTAAGGAAAAGGTAAAACTGTATGGTTAAGGTCTTGGCTGATTGTTGTTGTACTTGGATTAGATTAGGATAAATTCTTCTAAGGTTTTGCATCCCCAGTTGGCCCTTTATTTGTTAAGCTCAATGCTTATGTAATTCGATGGTATAACAGAGATTATAATTTTTTTGAACTGATCTTGTTTTGATGTTGATGGTGTTTGTATCGATATCAATCTCCCTGCAGATCTGAGATTGATCGTTTGACAGCTCTACTACATTCAAGAACTGTTGATGTAGTGATTGAAGATCAAGAGAAAAGGTCTGAAGTAGTTCCTTTAAAGCCATTGGCATCTGCTGATAGATTGAAGGGATTTCCTAAGACCCTTGCCCCAGGAAATAGGATAGAGAGTGAGGGATTTCTTAAAACTCCCGCCCCTGAAAATTGGTCGGAGAGTCAGCTTGTTTCAACTCCTGTCGTCAGTTCAACTGTATGATTATCTACTTTTTGTTTTTTTTTCTTGCTCGGTTCATATTTTTAAGCTATTTTGTCGGTAATGTGGGATACTCCACAATTAAGAGAGAACTCTGATTTTTCTTGCAATCTTTTCATGCTTATCAGTAATAATGATTAATGCCTCCAGGTCCTTGAGGGGGATGTTGCTTCTCCTACAGATCTTGTGGAGCTTGCTAAATCTTACATGCATAAAAGGCCCACTTCCCCGTCAATGCTAGGATTTCGAAGTCAACCATTTAAGGAGAATTCAAGCGCAATATACACACGCAATCTAACTTCTCCTCCAAAGGTACCCATTACACCTCTTGTGCCAAGGACTTCAGGCCATGAGGCTCGAGAAAATGGTATTATTACCCCAAGATCTAGAGGCAGATCTGCTATCTACAGTATGGCGCGAACACCATATTCCCGAGTTCGCCCAAATACTACTCTCAAGGTTTAGGTTTTTGTTTTTTTTGTTTGTTCGTCATTCCTTATTTTATTTTTTGCTGTCTGATTTTCCAGTTACTTATGATTTAGATCCTTACATTGGTCTGATTACATTTCAGGCTGTTGAGAATGCGGTTGATGTTTATGCTGGTCCATCATCATCGTCCCAACATGTACAGGATCAAAGTCTAACATCTATATCTAAACAAGGGGTACACCATCTAGACCTCAATAAATGCTACTTTTATATCCTTAAACCTAATATCATTGGTTTTTATTTATTTTTTTTATGTTTAAATTTCTGTGCAGGCTTTAAAACGCAGAAGTTCAGTTATGGACAATGACATTGGGTCCTTTGGCGCTATACGTAGAATTCGTCAGAAACCCAACCTTCTATCTTCAAGAGGTTTGAGCTTGGCTGTCTCTGGTAGCCCTCTTTCTTCATCTAGAACCGGACTTCGTATTGAGGCTGCTCCTTCAATATCAAAGCCGGTACCATTTGGTGAACCTGTCCGGAATTCCAATAAACCATCAACTGAAAATGGGGATAACAGTATGCCTTATACAACTGTTCCCACCAAGTCCAGTGAGATGGCTTCAAAAATATTGCAGCAACTTGATAAGTTGGTCTCACCAAAAGACAAATCATCGGAGTCCAAGGTACTTGCTTTGATGGATAAATCACCCAGTAAACTGTCACCATCTATGCTACGTGGACAGGCTCTGAAAAGCCTTGAGAATGTTAATTCATCGAAATTTCTGGGTGATGTCCAGGATAATAAAAAAATGGAAGGTTTACTTAACAAGATAATACCTGATGCTCGAGAATTCACTTCCCAAAAGGAAGACAAGGTTAAAGAAAATGGTCCATTGAAGCTTGTTTCAGCGGATGACAAGTTTACTGCTAAAATGAATGGTATAGATTCGAGGAACCAAAAGATGAATGGTGAAGATTCTACACTGCCAAAAAAGGATGCTGTACGTAGTCCTGAAACTTTTGTTCCTGCTGCACAAAACTCTGTTGCCTATCCTCCACAGAAGAAACGGGCTTTTCAGATGAGCGCACCTGAGGTATTGTCTTGTTTATTTAGTCTCTTGGCTGCAACTAGTCTTCTTCGTGTTTTACTTTTATTTGTGTCTTGAATCAATAGGGATTTTTTTTTTTTTTTTTTTTTTTTAAATCTTTATCCTCCTCCAAATCCAATTTGAAATTAGTCTTGTATAGTCCTTATAATCAGAAACAACTCCATGAAGCTATTGCCAGCTAACAATTTTCTTCTTTTTTTCTTTTTTTCTTTTTGCAGCATTGCTAGAGAAAGCAACATAAATTGATTATATATATATTTTTTGGTTTAACTTTATTGATAATCTTTTTGAGTACTTTTTTCAGTCTTTCTTATGTACTTCTTTTATCTCCACTCTTCAGTAATTTTAAGTTTATGGATATTGCTTGCAGGATTTTCTGGACTTGGATGATGATAGCTATCCAAATGGCGATGCTTCTGATGCATTGGCTGAGGGGAGAGAAAAAGTGAACTTCTCTTTGGCAGAGAGAAAGAGCACTGCTACCGAGCATGTAAAGCTGGAGAAAGCTTCAGCTATGACTGAAATGAGGTCTGCAATGTCTGAAATGAACCGAAAACATGACATGGGAAATTCTGCTGGATCTATGACCGCTGAAAAGAGCACAAATCTGATATTCCAGAGTACATCATCTCCCAGCATGACTGTCATGCCCACAGTCACAAGTACTGGGTCGACATTAGCAACTGATGGAGCTACTTTCCCGAAGGAGTCGTATGTTTCTCCTACATTTAACATTGGCGATAAAATTGCTCCAACAAAAGATACAAGTGCTGCTACTCCTATATTCAGCGGTGGCCTTAAAAGTACTTCTTCTCCTATACTCAGTCCATTGGGTACCTCTTCAGACCTGACGCGTGAAACCTCAAGCAAGTAAGTAAATAATAAAAACGCTCATTCTATCTTCATTTTCTTTTAAACTAATACATGATTCACACTTCTTGTGACTCTTCTTGTTTAGCATGTAGTCCCTTTTCTTAATCTTGTTTTGGGCTACCTATGGTTGCTATCTGCTCATGAAATGCTTACATGCTAATGTTTGTTATGAGATAGAATCTCTCCACTGTTGTTGACATGTTATATTTAAGAGCCTTTAGATCAAATCTCGTGATATTATTTTGCAGTGCTTCTATTATCAGGTTTTGTATTGTGGTTGCAGCATAGTCTGTTTTTGATTTTTGATGTTTGTAGGCTATAGCTTTGCATTTCTAGTCTTACCTTTGTTTTTAATACGATGCATTGTTTGTTGCAAACAGACTTTCATGCGGTATATTCGGTGGTTTTGTTTTTCATTGTTTGACTGGGTGTTGTGGGATGCTAAAATAATAGATGGTTATGACTTCATGTATGTTACAGATTACAATGTATGAGAAGATGATCTTTTCTGCAATATATTATATACATGATATATTTTAGGATTCCCCAAAATGTATTTGTATGTATTTTATCTTATTATTATTGTTGAGTGCTCAGATGTGGATTAAAGACCGTCTAAAAGATTTATCTCTTTGCTTACTGCTTCACGTGCAGCTTATTTGCGGTAGCAGGTGGTGCAACAGATGGTGTACTGAAGTTGTCTGAACCAGATAAAGCTGACAATAAGAATAATCCAAATGCTGGAGTCTTTTTCAGGACACCTGAAACTATGCCTTCATTGGCAGCATCAACATCAAGTACAAGTATACTCTCCTTTGGCAAAACACCACCCGGTGATTTTAGTTTGAAAAATGGGTCCTCTGCTTCAGCTTCCAGCAACCCTGAAGTTTTTGGTAATTTGACAAATCAAAACTCCTCTACTAGCTTGGTTTTCACAAACAGTGGTAGCAATTCCCTCACATCTGCCGCCGGTAGTAGCAGTCTCTCTACCTCAACTCCAGCTCTTTCAGGACCAGCTGCACCTGTAGTCAAATTTGGGTCCTCCAAACCTTCAACTGCAGCTGCTCCAGTTTCCGAAACGTCTTCAGCATCGGCTGCATCTGTGTTTAAGTTCTCTTCAGGTTCAACTGCAGTTGCGCCAGTTTCAGAAACTTCTTCAGCACCAGCTGAGCCGGTTAAGTTTGTGTCACCTACGACTTCAACTGCAGCTGCACCAGTTTCGGAAACTTCTTCAGCACCAGGTGCACCGGTATCTAAATTTGGATCCTCCGTGGCTTCAAATGCATTTGCACTGCTTTCACAAACTTCTGATGTAGTATCTGAGGCAACTAAGATAAAGCAGGACACCAGCTTTGGTAATTCAAGTAGTGCAGCAGCTGCTACAACTAGCACAGCAAGTACACTTTTTGGATTAACTGCTAGCGCTGCTGCTTCAACTTCTGCTAACCAATCTCAGGGTTCTACTTCTTTTGCTACTGTCAGTGAATCCGCATCTGGTATTCAGACTTCGCCTGCTGCAACTGGGGTTGGAAGCTTCAGCCAGAGCATACCGCTCCAATTTGGGTCGTTAGCATCCTCTCCAACATTTGCTTTGGCTGGAAGTACAACTTTTGCATCTGGCAGTTCACCCTTTGGTTCAACTTTTCCTGCTAAGCATTTTAGTTCAGGAACTACTCCTGGTCTTGGCTCTTCTTCTTCCTTGGCAGATGCCAATTCCGTTAGCTCCAGCAGTAGCAGTACGCCTAGTGTGTTCGGTTCCAGTTGGAACCAAACTCCAAAATCGCCTGTGTTTAGTTTCAACTCTTCACCATCGACTGGGTTTTCCTTTGGAGCATCCTCAGCCTCTACTGCCACTGGCAGTTCACCATCAACTGGGTTCTCCTTTAATGCATCCTCAGCCACCAATGCTGCCAGTAGCAGTTCACCATCAACTGGGTTTCCTTTTGGAGCATCTTTTTCTTCTAGTGCTGCTAACAGTTCACCATCAACTGGGCTTTCCTTTGGATTATCAACTTCTAGTGCTGCTACTAACAGTTCACCGTCAACTGTGTTTTCCTTTGGACTATCTTCAGCTCCCAGTGTAGCTGCTAACAGTTCGCCTGCGGTGTTTGGCGCAACAACAGCTTCTGCTGCACCTACGATGTTTGGATCATCTAATGGTGCATCCTCAGGTTCCCTTTTCCCATTCAATTCATCTTCAACTACTACAACACAACCTGTGTTTGGAAACCTTAATCCTACAATCTCATTTGGTGCGCCCTCGAGTAACAATGATCAAATGAATATGGAGGACAGCATGGCTGAGGATACTGTTCAGGCATCAGGTCCCACAACACCAGTATTTGGACAACAACCTGTAGCTGTATCCCCTTCTCCTTCCAGCTTTGTATTTGGATCAGCGGCTTCCTCAGTAGTTAATCCATTCCAATTTGCAAGTCAACCAAATATAGCAAACCCACAGAACCCTTCTCTGTTTCAGGCTTCCGGTAGCCTTGGCTTAGTTGAAGGCAACTTCTCAATGGGCAGTAACGGCAGTGGTGTTGACAAGTCCAATAGAAAATACGTAAAGGTTAAACACAAGCAGCGGAAGAAGTAAAAAGATTGATTTCGAATTGCTTTCCTCATTTAATTTCTCGGGAAATTGCGATTGGCAAAATAAGTACTGCTGTGCAAGATCAGAGTCATGAGATTGCTGTGTGGTCTTGAATTGCGCGATTTCGCCCCTTAAAGGTATAATCAAAACCTTTTATAAAGGTTCAACACAAAAGAAAATCTGTTAGCCTCCCTTTTAAATTTTTCTATCTTTTATATTTGTTCCTTTTTGTCGGAGGGATAATTACGGTCGCAATGTAGGATTAAGTTTTCACAATTTTGTATCTTTTCTGTAGTCCTAAGAACGATTTATGTTTTTCTTGGCATGTATTAGTACAAGTAGGTGAGAGCTTCCTGTTTGGGCAAATTGTACTATCAGACTCTTCTTGTGTACTTCTCTTGTATTTGTAACATAAAAAAGAAAACGGGTATGCTATGCATGTCTATGAAAGCGTCTTTGTTGTTACTCTTTTCAGTGGGCATGACAATTGACACATCATCGGGTTCACCTTTCTGTGATTTTTGGTTTCCTGGCTTTGTAATTAAATTCATTTTTTTTCCCCTGTAAAAGTGAGGCGAGAATATCTGCTAATACTTTAGTGTATATTTATATTTTTGCTTGCAATTGAGGTAGGAGACTACTCTATTACTCCAACTCTTTGAAATTCATGTGTCCTTGACCAGAAATGCGGATTCATCACCACATGTAACTAACTTGACATTTTACTTTTCGTACGAGGTCAATGCTTTGATTAGTTTAATAAAACTAACATGGCAATAACAAGTTTCAATAATATCATGAGAATTCTTTGGTAGGGTATGTTGGTATGAGAAACAAAAACCTCTATCGTTATGGTATAAAAGTCTTTTAATTGTTTTTAATGTGATTTCGAGAAGATTTAAAGTTTAGAAATATTCGATAGGGATAGGGTTGCAAAATTTATGATGTTAATACAAAGGGTAAGAGTTATCATTCAAAATTTAAACTGCACTATTATGGTCAGATTCATCACATATATACATATTTACACATACATATATTTTTTTAGGCTGCATTATAACGTTCAGACCCTTTTTTTTGAGGTTATAATTCTTACAATCTCATGATTTTGTAGAGTTTTAAAACTTATAACTCTATTTAGATTTTTTTTAGAGGTTCTAAATCTTGCAACCTCATGATTTTGTAGAGTTTTAAAACTTACAACTCTATTTTGATTTTTTTTAGAGGTTCTAAATCTTGCAATCTCATGATTTTTTTTTTTTAGAATTCCAAAACTTGTAACTCTTGATTTTTTTGGAGGTTCTGATTCTTGTAACCTCGTGATTTTATAGAGTTTTAAAACTTACAATTCTCTTTTTGGAGGTTCTAAATTTTACAACCTCGTAATAATTTTTTACTGCGTTCAGAATTTGCAACCCAACCTGAAGCGTGAATCTGATCAACGCTGACAAATGAACTTCTTCTCTGAAGATGACATTTCGGTGCAAGGGAGAGTTTAGAAAGGAATTTATAAAAAAAGATAGAGATACATCATGAGAGAAAACACAAAGAACTAGATAGAAGTGCAACCACACTTTTTTTTTTTTTTAACCTTTCTTTCCCTTTTTCTGACAATTTTCTTTTATTTTTTTTTTCAACTTTCACTCGTAATATACTCAATTCACTTCTTTTCCTTGCACAAAGTTTACACGGAGATCAATGGTCTTTCCTCTCAAATGTTCTTACATGGATGCATATATAGACGTACGAAGCAAACTCACTAAAAACTACTTTTTTTCTTTATTTATTTTTTTAATTAGTCAATTATTTTTTTTTAATCCTCTACTTTTATTTTGATTAGCTCTTTTTCATAATACTAAAATATAATTAGCTGCTTTTATCTCTCAAAGATTACCCCTATTTATGTGAATTACCGATGTAGAATATAACTTTCATATAATAATTTTGTAAACTTCCTTACATTATTTTTTATCAAACTCTCCACCAATGCATTTTATTTTTGCCCACACACCCACTTCTAGGGGTGTTTATAAACCCGAACAACCCGCAAACCCACCCCGCACCGCCCCAACCCAACCCGAAAAAAGTAACCTGCAGCATTATTTTTTAATTTTCGGCCCATTATAGCTCTGGCCCGAAGTGTTTGGGGCGGGTTGTGGGTTGAGCCCATAACAACCCGCAACCCAACCCGCACAACACATATCTAAACTAACTATCCAAATTATTACTTAAGCTATTTTTATTTCTCTTGTAGATAACTCAACTTCATGTCCTACTATAACCATTGAGGAGCCTATGGGTGTGGACTGATAAGGATTGTTGATGTTGCAATGCTTGCTTTAGATGGATTTGAATTAAGCATCTATGTTTGCTTTATGTTAAGACTAATTTATGAGTGTAGACTAATTTATGTTTGCTTTATATTTGATGTTGGGTGGACTGCTTTGCTACATGTTTGATGTTAGATGGACTCATAAGAATGGTTGCTATTTCTATTTGATTATGAACTTTGAATGTTAGATTGAACTTTGAATGTTAGGTTGAACTTTAAGTCTTTAATTTTTTGAATGTTAAAACCGACCACCCAACCCACCCCGCACTGCCCCAACCCAACCCGAACATCGTTGGGTTGTGAAAAAATTCTAATATCGTTGAGGCTAAATATGTGTAACCCGCACCCTATGAGACAGGGGAAAAAAAATCTTATCCCGCACCAATCTAATCCATGAACAGCCCTACCCACTTCCTCTGAGAAGTTATCCAACCTCGCACGTGACCATTTTTTATTGTATTTTTTTTTTTTGTTTTGTTTTAACACTATGCATGTCTATGAAAGCGTCTTTGTTGTCACTCTTTTTAGTGGACATGACAATTGACACATCATCAGGTTCACCTTTCTGTGATTTTTGGTTTCCTGTCTTTGTAATTAAATTCCTTTTTTTTTTTCCTTTAAAAGTGAGGCGAGAATATCTGTTAATATTTTAGTGTATATTTATATTTTTGCTTGCAATTGAGGTAGGAGACTATTTTATTTTACGTTTTGTTAGTGTATTTATGTTATAATTTAAATTATAATTTGTGATTCATTATAATATTATTTTTATAAAAAATACATGTAAATTAAAAATAATTTTAAATTATGATTCTAAATTCATAAACTAAACGTCTAAAATTTAATAATTCCTTGACCAAAAATGCGGATACATCACCACAGAACCAACTTGACATTTTACTTTTCGTACGAGGTCAATGTTTTGATTAGTTTAATAAAACTAACATGGCAATAACAAGTTTCAATAATATCATGAGAATTCTTTGGCGGGGTATGTTGGTATGAGAAACAAAAACCTCTATTGTTATGGTATATAAGTCTTTTAATTTTTTTTTTTACACGATTTTGAGAAGATTTAATGTTTAGAAATATGTAGGGGGCTGCAAAATTTATGATGTTAATATGAGGGGTAAGAGTTATCATTCAAAGTCTCCATGACAGTATTTAATCTAATTACCTAACATTTTATTACCTAGCTCTAAAATGTTAGGACAATAGTATTCTTTTTCTCAGAGAAAATGAATATGATATTTATGTTAAACCCAAAAGAATACTACAACTTTTTAAAAAATATCCATTCGATCAAATTAAATTAAGTTATAATGGGCCCTCAAGCCAATTAAAAAGAAGAAGAAGATGACAATCACCCCTAGATGGTAAGTACCGGTCATTCCTTTTCTTCTTCTCATTGATTTCTTTTCTTAATTTGTAAGTATGAAACAAATTATTTTACTCTATTTATAGAGATTATATTTATAATGTTAAATTAATTTTTTAATAGTCAAATTTATAATAAGAATAATTTTATATGACGTTTTTTAAATTTTTAATATGGATTTATATAAATTTAACCTTTAAAAATTAATTTAAGAGTTAAAAATAATTATTCTCAATATTAAAGTAAAATAGCACGTTCCAATCTAGAAAGTCCTCACGAGGACCAGCAAAAGCCAAAAAGATAATCGAGCCAAAAGAAAAAAAGGCAAAAGCAGATAATAAAGTAACAACAAAAAAGGGGTATAAGTGGAACAAAAAATTAAATACCGCAGCTTAGCTTCATCTCATGTTGACTGAGCAGTGACTTAAGTCTTAAGTCTTAACTGCAAAAAATTTTCACTTGAAAGGCCAAAGCAGATAATAAAGTAACAACAAAAAAGGGGTATAAGTGGAACAAAAAATTAAATACCGCAGCTTAGCTTCATCTCATGTTGACTGAGCAGTGACTTAAGTCTTAAGTCTTAACTGCAAAAAATTTTCACTTGGGGAGGAAATATGTTCTTTTTAAGTGAGTGAGTTGAGTGAGAAAAAATCAAGCAGTGACTTAAGTCTTAAGTCTTTAACTGCAAAAAATTTTCACTGGGGGAGGAAATATGTTCTTTTTAAGTGAGTGAGTTGAGTGAGAAAAAATCTGCAGAGTGTAGAGTTTTTCTTTTGCTCGTCTTTTCAATTTGGTTTCAATTTGAGTTCTCGTTTCGTTTGCGATCATTGTATCATTTTCTAGAACGTTCCGTTTCGCCAGCCAGTTCCACAACTCGCTCCGACCGGGTTCTTCATTTTCCGTTAAGAGTCCGACTTGAATGATTTGTCTCTAGAAGCTTCTCGATTGCAATGGTCTAGCTGCGGGACAGGTATTCTCGTGATCGGCGTCGTTTGGATGGTTCGTTGTTGTTGGTGGTGGTTATTCCGATGAATCATCTGTGCTTCACTGCTCCGGTCTCGATCGACCGGGAGAGTCGTCGGGATTCTTTACAAGTGGGTGAATTACTGCAAGGGATGGAGGTCGCGGTGGTTCGTGCTCGAAGATGGCGTCCTTTCGTATTACAAGGTTCACGGACCGGACAAGATTCTGATGAGTCCGGCGAGAGAGAAGAGCCTTAGAGTGATCGGAGAGGACTCGTTGCTGTACATGAAGAAGGCGAATTGGAGTGGCAATCGGCTCGTCGGCGACTCAGCTAGGCCTTGCAAGCCTTTCGGCGAAGTTCATTTGAAGGTCTGAAATCAAAGTCAATCGCTTTTCATCATTTTGCCCGCTTTTATTTTTTTTCCTTTTTTTTATTAATTACTTACTGATTTTGGTTTATTAACTGGTATTAATTAATAATAAAAAACTATTGAGTTAATCAATAATTACTATAATTAATCAGTGATTCACCAGTTAAATAAATTGGTGATAGACTATAAAATAAAACCAAAAAAAAAAAAATACATTTCCCTAGTTTTATAAAACTTAGGCAGTTATTAGAAAACTCCCAAAAAACGGCCCTCTCTCTCTCTCTCTATATATATATATTTTGAATTTTTAAAATCTGTAAGTGGCGTTTCAGGATTCTTTAATACGAACGAGTAAAGCGGATGACAAGAGGCTTTCGATATTCACTTGGACGAAGATTCTTCACTTGCGTTGTATGTCCAGAGAAGACAGAGCTGTGTGGATAGAAGCACTTGTAGCTGCTAAGGATGTTTTCCGTCGAGTCTTGACAAGCAGTGATTTTCGGCCTTCGGAAGACATTGCGGTTGTGACGGAGAAGCTGAGATTAAGGTTGCAGCAGGAGGGCATTGGGGAGGCAGTCATCAAGGACTGTGAATCTATTATGCTTTCGGAAACCTCGGAGCTTCAAAACCAGATGAAGGCGATGAAGGCTCTTCAGCATAAGCATGCTCTTTTGTTGGACACCTTAAGACAATTAGAGGTGTATCGTCTTTCTGATAACAATTGCTTTGATACTTGGAAGATGGGAATCTGAGAGTTCTTTGGTATTTTTTGGACGTCAGTGTGGTGTAGTTTACTAGTTTTGCCTTTTCGTGGTTTTCGATTAGATGTTTCATGTTCTTAAGGACGTCGTTTGTTTTTTGATGTTTTTGTGTGTGTGTGTGTGTGTGTGTATTGTTTCGTAATATATTTAGTCCAGTGAAGTGAAGCTAAAAAAACTCTTGGGTGGTTTTTGAAGATGGTATCTTTTTTCTTTAATTTTTTTTTTCTCTGGGTTTGATTTGCAGACAGAGAAAATAGAGCTGGAAACTAATGTTGTGGATGAAACAAAGGAACAGGAGTCATATTGTGGACAAGATAAAAGGTTTTTGTGTTTTATCTTTTTATTATTGTTCAGTGCTGAGTTGTGGCTTAAAGACTGTCTAAAAATTTATCTTTTTGCTTACTGCTTCATGTGCAGTTTATTTGCAGTAGCAGGTGGTGCAACGGATAGCATATTGAAGTTGTCTGAACTAGATAAAGCTGATAATAAGAATAATTCAAATGCTGGAGACTTCATCAAGACACCTGAAACTGTGCTTCCATCAGCAGCATCAACATCAAGTACACACTCCTTTGGGGAAACACCTGGTGGTGTTAGTTTGAAAAATGGGTCCTCTGCTTCAGCTTCCAGCAACCCGGTTGTTTTCAGTAATTTGACAAGTCAAAACTCCTCCACTAGCTCGCTTTTCACAAACGATGGTAGCGATACTGCCAGCATAATGACTGCTACTACCCCTACGCCTGCCTCCAGCAATAGCTGTCTCTCTACTTCAACTCCAGCTCCTTCAGGACTAGCTGCATCTGTATCTAAATTTGGGTCCTCCACTCCTTCAACAGCAGCTGCTCCAGTTTCAGAAACGTCTTCATCATCCGCTGCATCTCTGCTTAAGCTCTCTACGGATTCAACTGCAGTTGCACCAATTTCAGAAACTTCTTCAGCACCAGCTGAGCCTGTTAAGTTTGTATCATCTACGACTTTAACTGCTGCTGCACCAGTTTCGGAAACTTCTACAGCACCAGTTGCACCTGAATTTGAATTTGGATCCACTGTGGCTTCAAGTTCATTTGCACCAGTACCGCACAGTTCTGATGTCGTATCTGAGGCAATTAAGATGAAGCAGGACACTAGCTTTGGTATGCCTCGTACAGCTGATGATGACAAATATACTGCTAAAGTGAGTGGTATAGATTCTAGGAACCAAAAGGTGAATCATGAAGATTCTACACCGCCAAAAAAGGATGCTGTAAGTGGTCCAGAAACTTTTGTTCCTGCTGCACAAAACTCTGTTGCCTATCATCCACAGAAGAAATGGGCTTTTCGGATGAGCGTACCTGAGGTATTGTCTTATTTATTTAGTCTGACGTCTGCAACTAAATTTTATTCGTGTTTTACTTGTATTTGTCTCTTGGATAAATAGTTTTTGTTTCTTTCTTTATCCTTCTTTAAATCAAATTCGAAGCTAGTGTTGTATGGTCCTCATGATCAGAAATATCTGAAGCTATTGGCAGCTAATATATATATATATATATATATATATATTTATGTATATATTACTTTTTCTGCGTTGTTAGAGAGAGCAACATAAATTATATGCCAATTTTTAATGGTTACGTCTCCATCAATGGTCACCCATTAGATATAGCAATTTGATGACGTGACGTGATAAGAATCCAATTTCATTACTTGCAATAAATTTTTTAATCAACTATCCAATTTATTACAACATAGGATCAATATTTTATGACTAAAACAATGATACCCATCTATTAAAGTAACCATTAAAACCACACCCCATATATATTTATATGTTTTTTTTTTCTTTTTTTAACTTTATTAATAATCTCTGTGTACTCTTTCAATCTTTTTTGTGTACTTATTTTGTGACCTTAAGATGAAGTCTTCAGTATTTTAAGTTTATGGATATTACTTTCAGGAGTTTCTGAACTCGGACGATGATAGCTATCCAAATGGCGATGCATCTGATGCATTGCTGAAGGGAGCGAAAAGTAGACTTCTCTTCGGCAGAGGAGAAGAGCTCTGCTACTGAATATGTTAAGCTGGAGAAAGCTTCAGCTATAAAAGAAAACAGGCCAGCAGTGACTGAAATGAACCAAAAAAATGATATTGGAAATTCTGTTGTATCTATGACCGATAAAAAGAGAACTGATGAGTGAGTTTTACTCGCTCATTTTATATCGTTTTACACTCGATATCTAATTGGTTTTCGAGGTTTTTGTTAGTTTTTATGTGTGTTTTTGTTCTTTGTTTGAAGGTTAGGTGAAAGTCTATGATTTGGAAGGTTTTGAACAATTTTTGGTGGAAAAAGACAGCAAACACAGCATTTAGGCGCCAATTTATAACGTTTTGGCGCTGATTTTTACGGTACCAACACGTTTGGACTGAACCGGTAGCGTTTTGGCGCCTATGACAGCGCTGCAGCGCTCTAAAAACTGACGTTGACGCTGATTTTGCATAGACAGCGCCGCAGCGCTTGGAGATCAACGCCGCGGCGCTACGACGCGAGAAAATACATGTTTTGAAGGCAAATCGTGAGAAAATTTACCCGTTTTGACCATAATGCTCCAAAACATATAAATAGATGATTGTAGGGCAATTTTGGGAAACTTTTGGGCTGGAGTGACGGCTGACTTTTGAGAGGAGATTCCAGCAGAGAAAGGAGAATTGAGTACGGAGAAGAACAACGGCTAAAATCCGGAGACGGAGACGCTTCAATTCAACTCCAAACTAATTATTTTCTTTCCTTTCTAATGATTAAGATTTTGTTTAGGAATTTATTTTGTTTAGAGATGAATTAATTTCTTTTTCTAAGGCTGCGATGTAGCCGGATTATGAATGTTCAGATTCTCAATCTTCTTTTTAAGTAATTGATGTTTAATCCATATATGTTGAGTATTTCAATTTATTCTTAATGCTTGTGATTGTTTGGCCAACTATTACATGATTTTGTATTTGATTTGAGACCGAGATGTGATAATTAAATAAGCTCTTAATTGAAATACCATGAGTTGTTCATAGGATGGAGATATCTATGATGCTTATGCAATTCTTTTGAATTTCTTGCACTGAATAATTTTTAACATGTTTAGAAGTCTGACAGAGATATAGAGTTTGCTTGTTGGATTAAAATTATTGTTGCTTGAGAAAGAATAATAATTACTGTAGAGAAATTACTGTCAGTATATGATTGAATGTTAATTTTCTTGAATTATGGGAATTTGAACATGATTAATTTTGGTGAAATTGGAAATCCTAAAGTCTTAATCTATTGAATTTTATTCAACGGCTTAGCATTGTTTAATTTATTTAATTATTTTAGTTTTACTTTACTTAATTTTATAAACTCTCTTTTCGATTATTCAAATAAAATTGGGGTTAATATAATTTTGGTAATTAGTAAACAACAATCCTTGTTGGACGATACTCTTATTTACTATTATATTACTTTATTGCGATAGCGTATACTTGCGTCATGATTTTTCACAACAAGTTTTTGGTGCCGTTGCCGGGGATTGTTTTGTTTTTGCTAATATCGATACCAAATAACACTAGCTTTACTTTGAATTTTATTTTGTTATTTATTTTCTTGTTCTTATTTTGTGCTCTGCAGGAATTTAATTTACGTGCATGCGAAAGTTTGGGAGCAGCAGTCTACTACCTTTTGATTCAAAAATTGAGCGTACCTGTCGAAGAAATTGAAAAAAGAAGAGAGAAGCTGCTATTCAGTTGCTAGAAGTGATGGTTGATCTGAAGGAGAAATAAATGGGAACAACATACCACCGAACAATCAATCAGTGAACAATCCACCTGTGGTCAATCAGCCAATGGTTTTGTGAGATTATGCATTGCCACCAACCGTTGTTCAATCAGTGATCAAGAGGCTTGCTATTCAGGCGAATAATTTTGAATTGAAGTCGGTGATGTTGCAGATTATTCAAGCGATCCAATTTAATGGATTGCCGAATGAAGATCCTAATGCTCACATCACAAATTTTCTGGAGACTTGCGATACTATCAAATACAATGGAGTTAATGATGAAGCTCTTCGCCTTCGTTTGTTTCCTTTCTCTTTGAGAGATAAAGCAAAAAGTTGGTTGAACTCACTGTCGCCAAATTCGATCACTAGTTGGGAAGACTTAGTTCAGAAGTTCCTTTCTAAGTTTTTCCCACCGGCTAAAACAGCGAAGATGCGCATCGAGATCAATAATTTTGCTCAAAATAAAGGTGAAACTCTATATAAAGCATGAGAGAGATACAAGGAGTTACTAAGAAGATATCCTCATCATGGTCTACCTAAATGGATGCAGGTCCATAATTTCTACAATGGGTTGAGCGGCACTACAAGAACTCTGATTGATGCATCTGCAGGAGGAGCATTAATGAAGAAAACCGAAGATGAAGCATATAAGTTGCTAGAAGATATGGCAACCAATAATTACCAGTGACCTAGTGAAAGAAGCATACCAAAGAAGACAGCCGGACTACATGAGATTGATGCTATCACTAATTTGACTGCCCAAATTGCTCTCTTTCCAGACAATTACAGAATACTCAATTGACAGCTAATGCCATCCAAGCATCCTCTCCAGTGTGTGAATTTTACAGCGAATCTCACCGAAGTTATGAATGTCAAGCTGACAATCCTTTTGCATATGTACCAATTGAGCAAGATCAATATGTGGGGAATTACAATAGGCAACAGAATAATCCTTATCCAAATAGATATCATCCCAGATTACGTAATCATCTAAACTTGTCTTGGAGAAACAATCAGAATGTGCTGCAGCCTAAACAGAGCAACCCGCCATAAGAGAAGAAGGTGAATCTGGAAAATGCAATGGCTAAATTGGCTACCTCTCACACGCAATTTATGAATGAAACCAGGACAAATTTTTAGAATCAATTGGCTCAGATCAGAAGCTTAGAGGTGCAAATCAGTCAAATGGCTAATATGTTTTCTGAAAGGCAACAGGGAAATTTGCCTAGCACTTCTTAAGTGAATCCAAAAAGAGATGGAAAGGAGTATTGCAAAGCAGTTATCTTGAGAAGTGGTAAAGTATTGCAAAACCTGACAAAGATGAGAAGAAGGCGTCGTCTCAAACACAAGAGGCTACTGAAAAGGATATTGAAGATAAGGCAGAAAATCAAGCATAACCTCCTCAAGAACCATTTCTCAAAGTTCCCTTTCCTCAACGCCTGAAGAAAAGCAAGCCAGATCAATAGTTTGCTAAATTCCTCGATGTATTCAAGAAACTCCACATCAATATCCCATTCGTTAAAGCTCTAGAACAAATGCCGAGTTATGTTAAGTTTATGAAATACATCTTGTCAAATAAGAGGAAACTTGAGGACTATGAAATAGTTGCACTTATTGAAGAGTAGAGTTCCATCTTACAAAGGAAGTTGCCCCAGAAACTCAAAGATCTAAGGAGTTTCATCATCCCATGTTCAGTTGGGAATGATGTGTTCGAGAAGGCATTATGTGACTTAGGTGCAAGTATCAACTTAATGCCTTTATCTATCTTCCAAAAGCTGGGTTTAAGTGAAGCAAGACTTACCACAGTGACACTACAATTGGCAGATCGCTCTATCAAGCACCCTAGATGAGTAATTGAGGATGTGCTCGTCAAAGTCGACAAGTTTATCTTCCCTACAGATTTCATAGTTCTTGACATGGAGGAAGATAGAGAAATACCTATCATACTTGGAAGACCATTTCTAGCGACGGGGAGAGCGCTTATTGACGTTCAAAAGGGTGAACTGCGCCTTCGAGTACAAGAAGAAGAGGTAATTTTTAATGTCTTCAATGCTATAAAATACCCAGAAGTAAGTGATAGTTGCTTTCGGATCGATGAAGTGGAAGTTATAGTGTCTAACCATGTGGGTCAATCAGATCCCTTAGAGGCTAGCTTATTACAAAATGATTCTTCGATCATGGAGGATAAAGTGGTGATAAAGTATTTGCTGTGGATGGACTCCTTTGAGCCAAATAGAAGGAAATACTTTAAAGTCCTGGGACAAAGCTCTTCACGTCCCGTTCTATCAATTGAAAAGCCGTCGAGTCTCGAACTAAAACCATTACCGGCACATCTCCGTTATGCATATCTTGGTGAATCATCAACTTTACCGGTAATCATCTCCTCGCTACTCTCTCTTGAAGAAGAAGATAAGTTATTGAGAGTGCTGAGGGACCACAAGTCTGTAATTGGGTGGTCTTTGGCAGATATTAAGGGAATTCACCCATCTATGTGTATGCATCGCATTCTGTTGGAAGACAATATCAAACCATCAGTTAAAGCACAATGAAGACTTAATCCAACCATGAAAGAGGTGGTGAGAAAAGAGGTTTTAAAATGGTTAGATACAAGAGTGATTTACCCAATCTCAGATAGCTCATGGGTAAGTCCAGTGCAAGTAGTGCCCAAAAAAGGAGGAATGATTGTAGTAAAGAATGAAAATAATGAGTTGATCCCTACAAGAACCGTTACCGGATCAAGAATCTGCATTGATTACAGGAAGTTAAATAAAGCTGTGCGAAAGGATCATTTCCCTTTACCTTTTATTGATCAGATGCTGGATCGATTAGCGGGCCATGAGTACTACTGTTTCCTAGATGGTTATTTCAGATACAATCAAATAGCCATAGCACCAGAGGACCAAGAGAATACCACATTTACATGCCCTTATGGCACTTTTGCTTTTCGAAGAATGTCATTTGGATTATGTGACGCTCCAGGCACTTTTCAAAGGTGTATGATGGCTATTTTTTCATACATGGTGGAGCAGATAATTGAGGTATTTATGGATGACTTTTATGTTGTTGGAAATTCATTTGATGATTACCTTAACAATCTTAAGCAGGTGCTAATCCGATGTGAAGAAACCAACTTAGTGCTAAATTGGGAGAAATGTCATTTTAGGGTGCGTGAATGCATAGTTTTGGGCCACTGGATTTCTTCCAAAGGCATTGAGGTTGATCGAGCTAAGATTGAGACAATAGAAAAGCTACCGCCACCAACATCAGTCAAAGGAGTAAGAAGTTTTCTTAGTCACGCGGGCTTCTATAGAAGATTTATCAAGGATTTTTCTAAGATCTCTAAGCCACTCTCAAGTCTCCTTGTGCAAGGTACTTCTTTTGTTTTTAGTGAAGAGTGTCACCGGGCATTCTCTACTCTCCAAGAGAAACTTGTGTCAGCACTTATTGTTGTAACCCCAGATTGGGAGTTGCCCTTTGAATTGATGTGCGATACAAGTGATTATGCAGTAGGAGTTGTTCTTAGGTAGCACAAGAATAAGGTGTTTCATGCTATTTATTATGCCAGTCGAACTCTCAATAATGCCCAACTAAATTATGCAACCACAGAGAATGAGTTATTGGCAATTCTATTTGCTTTTGACAAGTTTCGGCCTTATTTAATTGACAATAAGGTAATTATCTTCACAGATCACTCGGCAATGAAATACCTTATGACCAAGAAGGATGCGAAGCTAAGGCTTATTCGTTGGGTGTTGTTGCTACAAGAATTTGACATGGAGATTAGAAATAAAAAATGCATAGAAAATCTCATGGCGGATCACCTTTCTAGACTTGAATTACCGAAGGAAGAAGAATTGCAAAAGCCTCCAATTGATGATAATTTTCTTGATGAGCAGCTATTCACTATTTCCTCTACAAAACTGCTTCCTTAGTATGCTGATATTGTGAACTACCTTGCGGCTAAAATTGTACCTCCGGAATTTTC